ACCCCTTGAGCCACAATGAAGCCGTTGGCAAAAGCCTCTCCATCTGAGCAGCCACACGGCGCTTGCACCGCAGCCCCGAGGGTCAAGCGGGAATTAAGAGGCTCACGAGGATGATTACGGTGGGAGGTGGCGGTGGCCTGGGGAGGCCTTCATCCACAGCAGTGGACGGACCATGGCTCATGATGATGAGAGGAATGATGGTGTGCAGCTCGGTGAACAACAGGTGCACACCCTGAACGTGCGGGCACTTGCACCTCCCAGACTAAGAGAGGCCACGTTGACCTTATGTTTGACATTTAATGAAAAATTTAAAGTTTTATTTGCAATGTTTTATTGCCAAAATTCATGGTATTTGTTGACCTCGTAATGCATTCTGTTTGACTAGTTGCAGCAGCAGCAGCAATAATAATATCCAAAACACCAATAATTATTATTTGTATTTAATTATATGTAGGGTAATTGAAGTGAGAGAGGGGAGTAAACATGGGCTCACTGCTCATGTTATACTATATAAGGCATTTTGTGAAAGGAATGTTAAATGCATCTGATGTTATCTGTAAATGAAATGAGCAAGCGAGCTCCCCCCTCGGGGCAAGCAGAGGATGCAGACAGCAGGGGTAGGTCTGGGGAGCTCAGGCACCAGCTTGTCCGTCCAAAAATATTATTTTTTTTCCCCCCAGATCATTCTATAGGCGTCGCATCTTTTAGACAAATAATCCATCCGCTTCTCTCGCAGGGCATTGCGACGGGCCCGCGGAAGTTGATCTCGCAGAGCTGCCTCTGAGATTCCTTCCACTGACCTCGGGTCCACGCAGTAGGTGGCAGCACTTTCCCACCAAGAGTCGCATGACAGTTAAACCGATAATTTTAATTAATAATACTTTAATTCTGTATAGCGTCATTCATGCCAACAGCATCCCGCAACGATATGAGGACCAAATTCTATATACGTGGTTGGCTACATACGGCGCGAAAGAATTCAAAAGCGCGCACACGTGCATACCGAGAAAAAGAAAACGCTACGACCAAGTAAAATGAAAAATGAATAAACAAATTAGGAAATGGCACCAAAACAAAAATCGGAAACAACAACAACAAAAGTTATCACAACAAAGAAATGAGTCCCATTAGAGTTGTAATTTAGCCAAATTAAGTTCAAAACCAATTTGAATGTGATGGGGGCCAGGGAGGGGGGTCTGTGCTGTCATTGGTGGCCATGTTGAGACTCATAACTCGCTGCACTTGAGAACCCAGTTTAATCACAGGCTAATGCCTGGACTTGAACACGGCATTCCAGCAGTGCCGCCTCTAAATCGTTAGGACTGGAGGTTGTGGGGGAGGAGGTTCGCTGTGGCCTCCTGTACATTCTATTCCTCGGAAGATACCAAGGGTCAGCCCTGTGTTGTGTTGTGCGGCCTAGTTAAGTGACTGGCCCGATTGGTTTCATTTTGTTGGCTCTCACAGATGTCGTGAAATCTCCAGGGGCACACCTGTGAGACTGCTCTTGACAGGTGCGGACCGACCTGTTTGGCCGCTGTGCAGCGTGTTTACAATTAATTACGTGGCTCATTGTGTAACAGCAGTCAGTACATAAATAGAATGCACCTTCCCACATTTTCTTAATGCTACCCCAAGGCCACAAACGGTGACGGGGACCCACACTCGTACTAGATGCATGCACGCATAGCCCTTTGTCAAGCCACTGCTGGTTGAGGGCCTCGCCGCGCTGTGTGGGACGTTGAAGTTATTGGACCATACTTTACCACGCTGGTCAGCCAGGGCTTTGTGTAGGCGAGGAGCATAGACTGACGTTTGGAGCGTAGGATTTCAGTCCATCAATGGATTTTGCTGTAGTGCTCTTACTGGTACCATCCGTGGTGGTCGCCCCATCCAACACTCAATATGCAGACTCAAGCTCTTGCTTGGCTTGCATCCTCTGACGAGATGGGGCGCATGCCGGGTGATTTTGTGCCAACTCCTAGAAAACGTGAGCATAGCGGCTCAATTCAATGAGAGAGCTGGCGATTTTGGCGTTGATTCTTTTTAACGGTCAAGAGTGGTAATGCGGCCGCTACCGGGTGATATGAAGGGCGTGCGTTTTCACGCTGCGTCTTCGTAAGACGTCATTCTTGTCATCACCATCATCACCACCACCACCACCACCGAGGTCACATGGGTTCTCACGTTTAAGATTCCCAGACGGTTCACTGTGTGTGTGATGTGGCAGTTCGCTGTGCTTATGAGCGGTGGTGGTTCCCTGTTTGTATGACGCGGTAGGTCGCTGTATGTGTATCATGCGTAAGTAAACTGTGTCGTAAAACTTAGCGTATAAATAAATAACAATAAAATTACTCGTTGTGAATTACATGTTCATAAGTAGACAATTGCTGCCTTAAGGTTTTAATTAAAAAAACTATTTAAAACTCCAAGAGTAAAACTGTAAAAGTGTGTGAATGTAACCTCTGGGTTGCCACCTTCATCAGCGTCAAAGGCATTGGCATTGTCAGGTAAATGATAAGCACCATTTACTTAGCCCATTACTGCCATCATCACCACCACTCGCACCTCACCACTATCATCACCCATATTACAATCGCTGCTGCCACCTATAACGCCATCAACATCAGTCTCATCACAATCATCGGCATCAACACCATCACTCATTCCCGTACCTCCGATTAGTACGGTGGGAAATAATTTCAACATTCATGCATACACATTCGACACGGCCAATTAAGAAAGTTGTCACGTGATGAACAAACGTGCCAATGTATTACGGCTTCACTGGCACGGCCGGTGTGTGTGAGAGCAATCCACACGTTTAACAATTTGGTGAGAGAGTAATCCACACACGTTTTAATAATTTGGTACCCCGCCTCGTCTGGCAAAGCGTTTTTGCATTTGGGCAGCTCCACGGATCAGGAAACTATGATTTATGGTAGGTATCGTTTTGGAGATAATTAATTATGGTTTTATCAAAAGTGGCTCATTAATGGATGCGGCGGCGAGTGGTTTGGCACAAACGCGAAAACTTTCAGCATCATCACCCGGTATTATGGAAGTTAAACAAATCATCTGCATCTGAAACACAGTCCTAATTGGATTTCGTACTGTGCTTAAGTGAAGATCCACTTCATGATTATATTAATGATTACTGACTGCCAGTGTGGAATATAATCCTGGAGCCATATCGCTCATTTCAACGTTTATTGCAAACGCGTCACAATTGCAAACTCATCACATGGGCCAGAGCAGAAGCTGGTACCACCTAAGGTAGCACAACTTGAATCATACCGATGTATTTGCACTGCTAACGAGAGTGAATTATTTGATAACGCACTCGTTTCAAATGGTTAATTATTACTCAATTCACTGTTGTTGGCCAAATAAGGAAATTGGAACTAATAAAGGTATGCCCCCTCCCCAGGTGATACCGGCAAGTGATAATTATATATATATATATGATGTGGGCTTATGGACTACATCATGCCTTGGTGCAGCAATGATATTGCATCTGCTCATCGGTGTTATGCTCGTGAACCTGGTGCTGCAAACCAGCAGGTGGGGAGCGGTGGTGTAGCGGTTAGCGCGCTGCACTACGAACCCGACAACTCGGGTTCGATTCCGGCTCACGGCCACCACCTTTGACGATTATTTGAACCGGTCCTGGGTAACTGGTGCAGTGTATAAACATCGCCACTGGGGGAGACAAAGGCGGTCGGGCGTAGTGCTGGCCACCCAAACTCATGCGTACCGTTCCGGCTTTCATAGGTGTTCGCTAACAGCACTTTCCCCAACAGTCTGTTCAGGCTACACAGGGGGTCTTTGTTTTTGTTAACCAGCTGGTGGGAAATCAATACGAGCACATTCATGGACCTGTAGAACCATATTAAATAATTAATGTGCACAATTAGTGGGAGTATAGCGCCAAATTTTAAAAGTCACGGTCAGAATTTTCGGAGCAAATGTTCTCTTTTGCGCCAGAAATACGAGGAGAGAAAGACACTTGTAAAGAGAGACGTGCGAAGGCAGAGAGAGCAACATGAGTAGAGACAGGGAGAGACACACTGGCATACGAGGATAGGGACGTGAGGAGAGACAGGGAAAGAGACAAACGGAGCGAGGCATTGTGGGAGGGGAGAGGGTCGAATCCCCTGTTCCACATCGGTGATGGTGACATTGTTCCATACATACATAGTTGAATCGCTAACTGAGATCCTTGGAACTGACGGACACCGCACCGCTGAGTCCTGCATTGGCTCCCTACTGTGGATCAGCGTATCATGACAACTTGCCCATTGTAAAGCAGCCATACATCTCACAAGGCCAAATGTTGCCAGCTAAGCATGGCTCTGTTCTCAAAAGCCCGCACGAGCAGGAAATTAAAAGAGTCTGTAATATAGTGCGGAATAAGCCTTTGGAATAACCCTTTTGTCTCCTTAAGTTGTCGTTTCGGCATTTGTGTTTGCGTCCACAGCATAAGTGCCAAAATGCGTTCCTGCTTTTAGAAGGATTTGCATTATCCACGGCCCATTCTCTCTCCGAAGAGGGAGGCTTGGAATTAAAAACAAAGGCTTACGGGGTGAAAGTGCCACGGTCCTTGCCGTGCCGTGTTGCCGCGCGTTTGCATGTCCGTCACGGGTGGGGGGGGGGGGTATTGACGCGCGGACTCGCCCGCTCGTCGCTCGTATTGTCATGGGGAAAAAGACGGCGATGGACGCCCCCCGTATTTATTTCACGGATGAATATCTTCGCCCCCGCAGCCGCTCTCATTCCTGTATTCACGCCAGCAAGGCCTGCTTGTTGCGTCATGAATGCACGCCCCACTATTGCAGTAAATTTTTGTAAGTAAATAATCCGAGGCAGAGGAAAAGGATCCTCGCCGCCGGAACGTTACCGGGGCTTTTTGACGTGCTCTGGCTGCGACGCGCAATCCGCCGCGCTAATATGTCCTGACACTGGCTCATTGACGTCGCCCACCCCCCCTTCCTCTTTCGCAGAGTGACCGACCGGAGCGCGATGTGCTGACGTGCGGTTGCCTTGACGTCGTAAACGTGGTTCGCGTGGAGATGATGCGCGACCCGGAGTAAGCGCTGCGCGGGAGCCATGGCCTAATTCCGTAATGTGCGACGGGCGGCTCGTAAGAGAGCTCAGGTGAGTGCCGCGAATGTGGATCCCCTGAGTCTCTTTAATCCCCTAAGTGGCTTCGTTTTTTTTTCGTGTGTTTGATGCACGCGACGTTATTGGTCGCGGGACAAACGACCAAATGTTTTGCTTTTGAGAGTCCTCTCGGAGCTGTTCCCCGGACAACTCGATTTAGTTCTTTTTTCCTGCATTATCATATTTAAGATACAATTTAAATTATTTTTGCCATTGCTTGTGCTGCTGTTCTTCCAAACGTAATTAATTAAAAGCGGCCATTGTTATTTTTCATCCTGCAGGTGGAAGCGGAGCTGCTGAGCAAGACGCATCATAGTATTATAAAAAAAAAAATCCCATCGCCGCCAGGCCCCCAACGCGAACTCTGCGACTAACGATGGAGGGTCAAGTGAAAGACCACAAGAAAAGTACACTGGCCTCTCGTCTGCCGCGGCTGACGCGCCGCTCTCCGGCACGGCCGGCCGTGAGCAGCGGCAGCAGCCCCCTGTACGTCGACTCGGGCACGAGCTCCGCGTCGGGGAAGACCAGCAGCAACGGCAGCGACAGCATCACCGGCAGCGCCGGGACAGGCGACTCGGCGGGCAAGCGCTTTAGCTTGTTCCGGCGCCCGTCGTTTGCGCTCCGGAGCAGCAAGAAGAAGACGCCGTCGTCCCCGACGGCGGCGGCATCGGTAGCGACGCCCACGATGGTGCCGATGCGGCCGATGGGAGGCGATGCGGCCAACCGCGACTCGATGGGCAGCGGCGAGCGGGAGTTCAGCTTCTGCGAGTCGCCCCGTGACGGGTTCAACTCGGCCACCCTTGAGTCCAAGTCGAGCCGCTGCAGCAGCAGCGTGGACAGCAGGGATGACGCGGCCTCGGGCTCGAGGTTCTCCCGAGGCTTCCGCTTCCCGACGGGCGGCGAGCGCAGCAGCAAGAAGGTGAAGCGGTCGCTCTCCGACTCGTTCGCTCGCGAGTCGCTGCTCACGTCGGCGACACGCGGCGTGTTCCGCAGCTGCATCCGGCCCAACCGCAACTCGGGAGAGTTCGACAAGGCAGTGATGACCGGCTACCGCAACGCCGCCGTGGCGCTTCCCCTGCTGGAGCTGACCGAGGAGACGGATCCTCGGGAGCTCCAGGAGAGGGAGGCTGCGCCGGCGATTGCGGCGCCGGTAGAAGGGGAGGAGGAGGAGCGGTCGCCAGGCGTGGACTCCCTTGAGGCGGCCGTGGAGAGGCCGCTGAGGTTCGTGAAGACGGCGTCGGCAGACAACGTGTGCGAGGTGTGGAGCCTGACAGGGTCGCGGGAGAGCTCCGTCTTCCAGAACATCATCGTGAAGACGCAGAGCACCTCCAGCCACGTCTGGGAGAGAAACCAAGCCGATGTCGACGGCGATTCGGCCCCCCGAGCCGGCGACGGGAAGAGTCCACGTCGGCTCCACCAAGCGGACGGGCCGAACGCCGCCGATCAATCGGCGATGAAAAACGCCAACGCACACGCCGGCGTTGACCGAGTGGACGATGACGACAAGCGGGGCTGCCTCGAGAAGCCCGCGACAGCGCCGACTGACGGGCACAACGGCCGTCACCGCGCCTCCCCGGGAACGTCTGCGCCACACCCCGGCACCGTCAGCCCGGCGTCCCCGCGAAGGACACCGGCGAGGGCGGACCCGTCGCGGCCCGGCCTTCCTCTCGTCGCCGAGACTCGCTCCGCGGAGAGGGAAGCCGCGGCGCCCGGCGTCGACGGGCGTGCCGTGGGCGGATCGCGCTTTTTTTACCAGGGCGGCTCGGCGCATCACCCCGCGACGAACCCTTGCGGTGTCGGCGTTGCTCCGACAGCGGCTGACGCGCCGGCCCCCTCCGGGGACGTCACCGGCACCCGGGGGGTCGACCCCCGGGGCACGGAGAGCGGCCCCGAGAGCTTGGCGTGGAGCGTGAACGAGAGCGTGGTGCGGGCCGGCGGCGCGACGGCGGCGCGGCGGCGCCAGGCCCAGGAGCTGCACATCGAGGAGGTGGCGGTGGCGGCCGCGTGCTGGGACGAGGCGCACGGGGCGGCGGGGGGACCCGGCGCGGACCCTGGCGGAGACGCCAGCTTTCCGCACAGACCTCTTCCGCTCAAGGGTAAACACATTCCGCCGTCGCTACCGTGCAACTTGTGACCGTAACAGTTCACCAGAGGCCTCGTTGACCCGAATATTATACCGTACGGATGTAAGAGAGGAGGGCGTTGCTTTTCCTAACCCACACAATTGATGTAATAACAGTGGTTCTGCGGTTGTCAGTAGGATGCCTGTCACAACAGGTGTGTAGGACTGGTTGTGTGCCGGCTGTTGTGACACTCAGATTGTAGTGAAATGGAGGGAGGGTTAGTAGTCTGCGCAGTTGATCTGCTTATATATAAAACAAATACAAAACCAAAGCGTGCGACCATTTGACCTAGGCACCACGTGACTTTAAGTGGTTCATTGAGCTGGTAAACTGTCGGTGTGTACAAATCACTCCAGTGTGTACGGTGGCTCGGCAGGCCAGACAGTGCGTTGGTGCTCACATGGCCAATCGAGTTGTACGTTACTCGATACAGGACTTAAACAAAAAACGCCAATCGCTGACGCAGGGTTTCGACGTTCGAGCCGTCAAAGCCGCGGTCGCACGCTCCACCCGGCTGTGAGCGGAGCCCGCATTAGCGGGGAGCCTCGTCCGTCCTTCTGCGCTGCCGTGATTGATCCGTTCGGGGAAACTCGGGCGAGCGGAAGTTTGTGCGCACTCCTGCCTACTCGCCCAACCCTGTTTTGCGTGGCAAGCTGCCGATGATCAAACCATCTTACTGCGTACCGATTTTTCAAAGCAAAAATCGCTTACATTTGTGTTCCCCTTCACCACAATGTTTATAGATCACATGATAAGTGGCTTATCATGTGGAAATTAATAGCAGCCAAATACTGTAAATGTATGCTTATATATGTGGAGGGAAAAGCCTTACGACCCGGAGAAAGATCCACACGACCACGGAGAGAACATGCAGACTCCAAATATACAGGCATCAGGGTCGGGATCGAACCCACGACCTCCTTTATACCAGGCGAAGTAGTTAACATCTGGCCAGTGCGGTGCCCTGGTCAGCTCGGCTATCGGCCCGCAAACAGGCTACCATGCACGGTTGCACGTTGTGCGTCGACAGGGCCTTGTGACGCGGCGTAAACCAGCAAGGGGCCCCGCGCACGGAGCGTGACAAAATCCCACGCGGTTACGCTCTGAGCTCTCGTCATCCCGCTGGGGTGGTGGGGGGGGGGACCCAGTCGACACAATGCGTTACGGCTGCCCCCACCGCGTATAGTGGCCTCACAACTCAAACACGAGGTAGACAGAGCATATTAGAGTTGTGTTCAACATTGCCTGCGGATCCATTCCTTTTGCTCTGCCCACTCCCAACACTGCTATTGACTCTCCCCCTCTGCCCCGAGGGGAGCCGTACTCTTGGCCATTAACTGCGTGTCGCTCTCGCAGGATAGTGTCGGGATGTCTGATTGGCTGCTTCGGCATTGAGGGTTTTGGGAGTGGAGAAGGAAATTGACGGCAAGGCGAGCTGAATGTGCTTGGGGCAGTCGATTATTGTTATTATTTTTTTTTAATACAGTCGCTGAGCACAGGTTCCGAATTCCCACAACGCCGAGCGGCAAGCAACAAACAGCACGATTGAAGCTGTAAAATAGAGTTAACACGTTTCTTGAATTGAGCGAGGTTCAAAGAGCGCTGGAGGGAAATCCTAAGTCGAGCAACGCGAGCGAAGATTTAACCGTCTCCTCGTACTTCCCTCTTTGCCTCTCCACCGGCCACCCCTCCGTCCCAAACATCTCCTGAAAAAAAAAACTGCCGAGGTCTCCTAAACCTGACGCTTGTTTTCGTCGTGCGATTGGCGCGTGACCCTGCAGCGGGCGGCAGGGCGCAGGCCGGGGAGTTCTTGCGGCGCTTGTCTGAGGGCTCGGAGGGAGATGGAGCGCTGAACGACGACAACGACGGCGGTGGTGGCGGCGTGGCGGTTACTGCGGCGGCGATGCCGGTGCCGGCGTCGCGGCACCGGCAGCACGACGAGGACCGGAGGGACCGCGGCGAGAGCTTCGCCTCCTCTGGAGTGAACAGCATGGTGGGTCTCGCCCGCGTGCGCGCGGCGTCGCCGTCGCTCGTTTGCCCGGCTCCCGTGCCGAGCTGGCTCCAGAACGCCGATGAGTTCAGACGCGGGCGAAAGGCGGAGGAGGGGCAGACCGCACCGGCCGTGCCTTTACATTTTTTAAGTCACGTTTTGTCTTCTGGATAAAGTGTCACCGTGTGAAATTCAACGACGTTTATTTGGTCATTGCGATGTGCCCACTCGCATCGCCATTGCAATTTATTTTAATTGTGACGGTAACTTGCAGCCCTCGGCGAAGGCCTCCCTCACGCGCCGCCTTCGGTCGTGGGAGTCAACTCACCGCTTCTCAACATCCTGGCCAGTGCGGTGAGGCCTGGGAGGGTAGACTCAGTGGAACAGTGCATCTTGATGCGCCGCACTCTGTTGCCCACAACGTAACCGTGCAATGACAAGCGGAAGGTGGATTCAAGAGGCACGGCTTCGAGCCTTGTGTTTATACATCACGTGCCACCTGCATGCCATCTTTCGCCTCCAAATACGTCTCACTTGGCAGACCAAAGAGGTGTAAATGATTAGGCAAATGCAAAAAAACCTCAACGCGTTCGTCAATAACTTTGCGTGAAAAGGCTAAATATATAACAATTATGGTCCTTTTCGATTTAAAGCTTTCGTGACTGCAGGGATTCATCTTCTTGGTTCTTTCGGTAAAGTCACGTGACTTTACCAAAAGAACCAAGAATAAATGATGGTCCTTCATCAAATCACAATGCTTTGTGGGCAGTGGTCGTCTTCATAGTATATCAATGCGCTGTGAAGAAGCTCCATTGCCTGAAACGTCGCCTATTACATTTTTTTAATGCCGCAGTGTCATTGACAAATGTGGGGTTTATTTCTTGTTAATTGTGCTCGTGCATCGCTTGCAACGCAGCAGCAAGCACCGCTAGATAACTGAGGTACAGACGGTAGTCGTAGTCCAGCAGTTGGAGGTCTACTGGACATCTGTGAAAGCTACTGAACATCGGATTCCTCCAGTACAAATCAATATTCTGAATCTGATGCTCAAGTGCGAAATCCTGTGCCTGGGTTTGGGGGGCTGTGCTGCCACTTCTGCCCACCGGGTGGCGGTGGCGGCCTTCTAACCCCGTGGGCCCAGTCGCGTTGTGCATCACGCGCAGCTGGGAGCAACGTTCCCTTTCTCTCTCCTCCCCCTCCACGCGTGGCCACGCTAAAAGCCTCTGCGCCGTCTTCGCCAGGCGTTTAAATATATATATATACTTTCTGGTTTCGTGACTGACGTGAACTTCTATTGCTCTACTTAAAATATTTTAAAAGAAAATATAACCTTTGATGATGTCCCCCTTTTTTTCATAGCAGCACGGCTGTGCACCCTGCGCAGGCAATTTCTTGCCATTTAATTCACATCCCTGTCCATCAGCAGGATCAAGTGTTCCCTTCCCCCCTATCCCCATCCCCATCCGCCCCCCACCCCTTCCTCCTCGCAGTCCAGCGGCCAGTCAGCCACTCGTGTCTTGTGGCCTGCACGCCGCTTGCAGAATGCATCCCCAGTTAGTGCAGCTGAAAATAAGTAAAAAAACAAAAGTGCGACATTAAAATATATTTTTTTTCCGGAAAAAAGTGTGAAAACGTTTCCAGCTCGATTTCTACGACGCCTTGGACCTTTTGCGTAGAATACGGAGTCGAGGGAGGGCTCCTCTTATCGGGTGTGAACGGTTTTTGTTCTTTACGTGGTGCCAGCGCTTCCAACGCTTCAGTGCGCGCGTCTTGCCGTCCACTCCCACCCTCTTATGTGTGTACAGGACATGCTGCACAGTCTGGGCTCTCTGGAGCTCGATGAGGATGACCTCATGCTTGACTCGGAGCACCTTGAACTATCGCTGAATGGGCTGAGCTTGCTCACAGGTGAGGGAGTGAGTGAGTTGTGGGCGAGCGAGTGACACCAGTTTAGCAGTGCACAATCCGCACCAAGTCTCAATACACTTTCTTTGTAGCAGGACCTGCACAGGATATTTAGAACATTTCTTATTTTTCATATTTTTTTTTTATATATACACGTGGGAGGAAACATTTTTACCCTGAGAAATCTGTATGTAAAGGTCGATAATCAGATTGCTCCATCCCCTTGTGCAGGCAACCTCATGTAGCACAGCAGATCTGTGTGCCACGCACAGAGTCCTTTTTCCGTGAGCCACCAACCCCACCTATGCAGTGCTGGATTGCAACCACGCATCACCATGTCTGAAAATGCCACTTCCATCTTTTTGAACGCCACTCTCGAACACTTCTTAGCCTACTCAAAAGACCGTTGGGAAAAGTGCCCATTATGGAAGTTACCATTGTCATTTGTTTAACAAGATGAGAACACAGAGAGCAGGATAGAGTCTTACTTGCAAGAGCGACCTGGGGAATTAGTCTGCCAGTAGGCGGGGTGCAATAAATCGCTGCTATGTGAGATCCCATTCAAGTAATTTGCGGCGTAATTTTCTTGAATTTGGCAAATGTGGACACTGACCCCTGGCACGCAATGCATCATGGGATCATGAACTTCCACTGTGAAACAGGTGACGAGTAGTAATATGGACATTCCACCCATAGTAATATGGTGATTAGACCCCTAGTAATATGGTCTTTACACTCATAGTAAGATGGTCATTAAGCCGGTAGTAATAAGCAGGGCGGCCACTGGATTCGAAGTGTGAACTTCACCAAGTGGCGAACGCGCTACTGCTCGGCCCTGTCACTTGATGTACGTATGTACGTTGAGCTGTTTTCGCAACCGTACTTAGCCAACCGTGCTAATCGGAGGTGCGGGGGAAGGACAACAGCGACTGGAAGAAGGAAGCACGGTGCACCGTAGTTGATGTGCTCCTCACAGGAACCACGAGCTTGGCGCCCTTTCAGCCCACACAGTGCTGTTCCATGCACCGCCTCGCTTATTCTCTTCACCCCGAATGGCAAAAGTGCTGCCGTTGAACGCTTAAATAAGTTCCCACATTAAGAGTTAAGAACGGTTAAATCGAATGTGACTGCAAATTTAAGGCGGGCTTTTTTTTTTTGACGTGCAGAGGTGATTGAATTAAGACCCGTAAAATTCACTGCGCGTATGAAATCTCCAGAACATGGGACCTGGACTGCTCCTACATCGCTTGTCAGCCCTGGGGCTCAATCTCAGGATCACAGGGAATCCCGTCTCGGTGTTCCTGTCGTGGCGTACTCTCTCCTCCCCCTCTCCAACGCTGCATTCTCAGAGCACCGTGTTAATTTGAGTAATGGGTCCCTTTTTACCCCTCGTACAAGCTAGCGATGTCCTTGCTATTTTTCTCCTCCTCCCCGTGTTCAAAGATAGCCTACACACAAACACGCCCCCCCCCCCCACCCTCCCTACTTGCACCCCAATTCCATCGTTATCTGTCCACCGAATTGGAGACGGCAGGTTGGGACTGATGGATTGTCAGCCTTCGTCCGAATCGGACCGTTTTGTCAATACCTATTTTAATTGTGGAGAATGCTCGTGGGGATTTGTTTTCAATTAGTGACCAATGGGCTTAATTGATGCACGGGGAACGGGGTGTTTGGCAGGCGGGTTGGGCCATGAGCAGGGGGCGTATCCCGGCCATTGATTCACCTCTGCCGATGATATTTGCATGAATCCAATAATGCCCTCTGTTTCAGCTACTTTGGTTTAGGGCACAGCAGCATAATTGGACAAAATTGCCAACAAGCGTATTGGATTTCCAGCCACTTTGAAAATGGAATGAAAAGTCCCCAAAAGGTTGATAATTTCGGATCGCTATTAGATGGGGAGGCATAGTATTTTATTTTTTGTTCTCTCGGGCTCTCAGGGTTTGGCAGGTGCTCTGCTCGTTTACAGAATCGGAGATAATTTAAGAAGCCCCACAAAGCACGTGCATATTAATTTATCCCCCACCGTGGCCACTTAATTCTGTGTGGTCCAAATTTGTTTGCCAATGGAGATGCTTCTAGTAACTGCGTCATGAAAAATCAAGTCCACAAAATTGCTGTCATACTTGCATTGTGTTAGTGCATTCTCAGGGTAACAGATGGATGAAAGAGTTAATTCAAATGGAAGGTTAATTCATCAATGATATTGATTTACAGAATTCAATCCTTTGATTAATTGAATTGATTTACCGTCCCAAATCCCATGAAGGAATGCTGCTACGAACTTCCCTGTCAGATCGGCGTTGGGGCAGATTAACACTGATTTGTTTTACAACAAGAAGGTCAACAGATTGCTGCGTGGTGGCCCCGCGTGGTGGGGCACGTGGCCCAGTCTTCTCCCTGGCTGCACTCACCACCGTGCCACCATGCTCATTTGAAGAGCTTTTCACAGCTAATAACTCGCAATTTTTATTTAATTTTACCGGGTTAGGCCTACTACTGAGCTTATGTCGCTCTTTTTTCAGAAGCAAACCTGGCCACAAATGATAGCTCAAAAAGAGTGGCTTATGTGGAAATTTATAGCAGCGAAATACTCTTAAACGTGTTCTGTTGATTATGAATGTGGAGGGAAAAACCGGAGGACCCGGAGAAAAATCCACGCGACCACGGGGAGAGAAACTTCAAATATACAGCAGGCGTAAGGGTTGGAATTGAACCCACTACCTCCTCCACGGTGGAGAGGAAGAATGGGCCATTGCCTGTAACGTCGCCTATTATTTACATATTGTTCTGTTCATGCCACACAGTGGTGTTTAGGAATAGGAGAGATAGGCAGCAGCCGTTGCTGTGTTTCAGGCCCAAGCTTATTTTACAGGGCTTTTCGTCCCAAGAGCGAAGAGACAACATTTATTTTTGGAACGGGTGGAAGATTTTTCCCACCTTTTTCTTCGTTTGTTTCGAGCAGCGGCAGTAGTAGCAGCAGTGGTAGCAGCAGTGGTAGCAGCAGTGGTAGCAGCAGTAGTAGCAGCAGTGGTAGCAGCAGTGGTAGCAGCAGTGGTAGCAGCAGTAGTAGCAGCAGTGGTAGCAGCAGTGGTAGCAGCAGTGGCAGCAGCAGTGGTAGCAGCAGTGGTAGCAGCAGTGGTAGCAGCAGTAGTAGCAGCAGTGGTAGCAGCAGTGGTAGCAGCAGTGGTAGCAGCAGTGGCAGCAGCAGTAGTAGCAGCAGTGGTAGCAGCAGTGGTAGCAGCAGTGGTAGCAGCAGTGGTAGCAGCAGTGGTAGCAGCAGTGGTAGCGGCAGTGGTAGCGGCAGTGGTAGCGGCAGTGGTAGCGGCAGTAGTAGCGGCAGTGGTAGCAGCAGTAGTAGCAGCATTGGTAGCAGCAGTGGTAGCAGCAGTGGTAGCAGCAGCTATGGAGCTGGCAGATACCCCACAGTGATGTTTCCTCGGGTCCTACAGCAAATGATTAGGCTGGCACTCGCTCTTTATTATTTTTCTATAATTGTCCACAGTCTCTTTATTAATAGCGACGGTTAAGAAAATTAAATATCCCCTCAGGTGAAATGGTTATATCAAACGGAGCCCGGCTGATGGGCCCAGGGATGCCTCTTAGTCATGTGACAATAAATCACAATTAAATTTACATAAAAACTATTATCCTCGTTCTGTTTAATGTTATCTGGATGAAGACTCACGGTGTGAAATTAACAAAGGTTTTGAATGTAATTGCGTTGTCCCGATTCGCATTGCAAGGGATTAATTTGAATAATTAATAACAATCATTTACTTGTGTCAATCCACTTCTGGATGAGAGCCTACCCATACCATTGAGGCCATCAGACTAAAATGAAGGCACTACCATCGCTGAGTAAACATTTCATAAATTCCTCCTCTAAGCTAGAACCAAGAGACTGGTTTCACTTCTTGGATGGTGTCCATAGTTATCCCGTCTGGGATGATAACTGTATATTTTGCGGTGCCAGTGGTGACTTCAAGGTGGACATTTGGAAAACCCTCTGCCTTATCCTTGTTCTGAAGACCCTGAATAATTCCTCAAATGGTATTAGATGTGACAAGCCAATGGGCTCCACTTGTCTGTTTAGCAATGGACTGCATGATAAACCGTCATTACATTTGTTTCATAATATAGGTTTTTGGGTCAGATCGCGTTATTTATTAAGACCGGAAGCAACAGGAGAGCTTCACCATTCTTGCCCGATGAAGCTGATTGTAATTATCAGCGAAACGTCGTACTCAAATTTAAAATGCTGTTGATCCTCTCTTCAGCACACCGGTGGGCTAAAGAAGTGAATTATTTTGTCCTTTGAAAACGTGACACATTTTTGACTGTTTGGCCGTGTCGGGTGGTGGAGGGTTACGACACATTTATAAATAACGCGATCTGACCCAAAAACCTATATTATGAATAATATTGGTCGCGAAAGCCTACGTGTTAAATGGATATATTTGTTTTTTTACATTTGATTGAGCTGAAGTAAAATAAAAATGATCGGTTCAAAACTGTCTTGCGACAAACTAAACTAACTGCGATTTTTATTTTACCAGGTGAAGCTCACTGAGTCATATAGCTCTTTTTCAGAAGTGACCTGGTCACATATGATAGCTCAACGAAGTGGCTTATCGCGTGGAAATGCATAGGCAGCCAAATACTCCTGAACGCTTGATGTCGATTCCAAATGTCGAGGGAAAAACAGTAGGACCCGGAGAAAAATAATCGCAACCACGGGGAGAGAGACACCGCAAACTTCAAATACATAGGCATCAGAGATGTTTCCTATCTCAGCCGAGTTAGTTAACATCTCGCCACCGTGGCGCTCAATATCTTGCAGAGTGCGTGGGGGAAAGTGCGCCCCTTTAGAGGATAAAGCGGCCACCTGTAGGATTTTTTCTGGAGGAAGTCCTTCTCCCCCCAAATGCCATTCTTCTCCGACACGCGAGGCCGCCGCGCTGCTCTGTGAGCTTTCCCGTTGGATTCTTCGCCTCACGATGCAGGCACCAGTAGCCCGCGCGGAATGAATTGTGGGGGGTAAACGCAAGACGAATATAAGCGTAGGGTATTGATGGGCCGCTTTTATACATGGCGCTATCCGTGCATGCGTGCAATACTCACTTTGTGTCACTTCACTAGCTTTGGGAGCCTTTTCCTTCTTTCGGCAAATGCATTCTGAGAGATATTGGCTGTGGATTTAAACTTTATGCTTTGGAAAAATATCGGACGTGGTGAACCAACCTGGTTCCAGACTCCTGGTCGTGACTGGTACTGATGATTAGCTTCATCAACTTTCTGCCTCGTGACCATATTTTCGTCAATACCCTGCATGTGCGTGCACACTTTTTAATAAATCTCTTTCCGAGGGGCCAAGAAACGATGGAATAGGCGGTATTATCAGGGTGCTCGATAGAGATGCGAGTCAAAAAAAGTGTTTATATTTACACTCATTTTTTTTTTTTTTTACGATGCTAACAACCGTCATTGTACGCAACGGACGCTGGGTGTTATTAAACAGCGGAGAATTGTTCCCAGTTAGATCTTGCAAAATCACGTGAATTGTAATTTTTCTTCATGCCTCATGCTCGCCGTGGCTGTGCCATTGTTTCCAGGTGGCATTGAGCCGCTGCAAAGCCCTGGGGACATGCGGCAACTGAATCTCCAGCGCTGGACAGAGAACGCACAAAGGTTTCCGACTTAATTATAGCGAATTACCATCTGTAATATTTTTTTGCTCAATCCTTTCATATGCATATATTAATATGCCACTTAATATTCTCGCTTATGACAACGAAGAAGCCTGTGGAAATGTTTTCCATATTTGCCTAATTTAAATTAACACGCTCATTCATCACGTTGATCACTGTAGACATGCCTGTATTGATGGGATATTGTATTGCGTGTGTGCGTGCATGTGTGAATGCGCGTGTGCGTCTGTCTTTTATGTGAGAGCGGTCGCGCAGTGGCTAGTGCGTTGTGCTTTGAACCTCGCGACCCGAGTTCAGTTTCCGCTGTGCTGGCCAACTCACCCTCTTGGTTCACAGTGTTGCCCTTAATATGTGCTCGCTAACAGCACTTGCCCTAACAATCTGTTAAAGGCTAAACGGGGGATCTTTATCTTTGTGTCTGTATGTATGTGGGGCGCGATAACGCAGTGGTTTGCGCACTGCGCTATCAACCCGTCAACCGGAGTTTGATTACCAGCCACGGCTAACATCAGTGGCTAGTGATATCTGAACCTTTTCCTAGGCTCTCCCCCTCGGTCAACTCAACATTAAACTCAACCTGGTGTGGTTCGTAAACATTGGCACTGGGGGAGACAAAGCCAGCCAGGCGTGGCGGTCGCCACATCACCCGCTTTATGTGCTGCGCCAGCCTGAGAAGGTGCTCACTAACAGCACTCTGGCAGCCGGCAGAGGCTTCGTAGAAGATCTTTGTCTTTCTGGAGACTGAAAACAAACCTCGGCTATATTTAATTCACTTGGTTGCGACCGATGCATTTGACTGATGAGATAAAAGAGCCACGGCTGCCATGCGAACGAGTGAGCAAAGGCGTCGGCTTGCACGCCGGATGAGAGGTCGGCGCTGGAGGGGGGTGCGAGCGTCGCCTACGGCCTTCGAAGAGCTGTGCGGCGCCCTCCTCGTTCCTTTTAATTCCTCCTCCCGTCGTCACCGTTCCGCGCAGGGGCCGCACCCGGACGCGCTCTGAGTGCTCGCAGCCGGAGAGAGCGGAGCAGCCGGACCCCGCAGGGCCTCCGCATCAGCGTACGAGTTCGGCCCACGCAAGCCACCCCGCCTCTCTCCTTCCATCGCCGTCGCTGGCCCCCCCAAAAGACCGCGGGAACGGCGCTCCCCCGCCGAGCTCCCCCAGCGTGCGCCACCATGGCTGCTCCCTGCCCCCCCTTGGAGGAAGCCCCCCATCGCGAGCGGCTAGCCGTCACCCCCGCTCCCCCCTCGAGCTGCCCTGGTCATCGGAGGAGGGCCTCTGCAGCCCCGAGCAGCGCGGCACCACCTACAGGCACATAATGACCGAATGCACGGCGCTCAAGACGATGCTGTTCCGCTTGCGGAGAGTGCTACATGAGGTGATGTTTGTTTCGCTGGTGCTGCCGTGTTGGGGTTGCGTTAAACCCATAGCACCTGGGTCTGTTCCGCGACCACCCACACTGCTACAACCCAGACGGCTTGAGGAGGCCTTCAACTAGCAGTTGATTGACCAAGGGCAGCAAATTATTATGATTATAATATATAAAGAACAGCATGTTCTGCTTGTTTCTGATTAGTTTGTTGTCCGTCCCGCATACCTCCGATTATCATGGTTGGCTATGTACGGTGCGAAAGAAGTTCAACATGCATACGTACACCTGCCCAGCTAGCCTTCGACACTTCACCTAGCCCCAAAGTACACTTAAGCTGCCCGGACATCTCTGCGGAACATTGTGTGAAACCCAGCCTAGGTTGGATATCTTTTTTTTTTGCAATTTAACACTGATGCTGCGGTTTATTTTTCAGTTGGCGTTTTGTTCTTCCGCAGCGGAGAGATATGTCTTATTATTTATATATCTCTTCTGATCTCGGTCGGCCTCTCCACACAGCTTGACATCTTATTCTGCTGGAGGCAGCCCAGAGATGAAGGTGAAACGATGATCTCTGCCGGGCAGGCCCCGGCTGCGTGCTGGCCGCTGAGCGGTATTGTCATGCCATACGCGTGCACGCGCAAGCCAGAAAACGGCCACCGCAAAGCACCCACTGTGCTCTGAGCAGAACATTCGTGGCATTGCAGGCATTTCCTCAGAAAAAATATATTTTTATTTACTTGCGCTTGTTTACCCCGGAAAGCCTCACTCATTTTAGGAAGTTACTGCCAAGTGTTTGCCATAGGCTGGTGGTGAGGATGAGGATGCCGCTGTGTGCCAATCCCAGTTGAGTAAATTTGCAGGTAATATTTGAGCATTGGGATATTTGCCCAATTCCACTTACAACATGTGAATTTTTTTTTAGCTATGGGAGGCAACTGAGAGTCTCGTTCGTTGGGAACCCATGCAGAATAGGGGGAGAATATACAAAGTCCACACAGAGTGGGGAACCGAACCCAGTCCCTCCTTGCTGTGAGACGCAAGCATTACCACTGCACCACCAACCATTCCCAGTCCATCAATGGATGAAGGCCTCCCATGCCACAGGTGTTTTTTTTTTTTAATAATCGAAATATCATCCCGCTGATAATTGTGGGTTGGTTAAGTGACAGGAGGCCAGGTCCAAACTCGATACACAGTCACGTTTACTTTTTATTTCAATGCTTCGCACTGTCCATCACCCACACAGCTTGGTGAAGAACTCATCCAGTGGTGGGTCGACAGAAGGCAGCTGTGAATTATCACTGTTGCTTACTTTACACGTGCGCGTAAACTTACAAGGTCACTCGCCCCGCTTGGGCTCTTGAAATAAAAACAAAGCAATCGGGGGAGACGCCGCATCTGCCGGACAACAACCAAGCTGGATGTGCTCCGTGTACCCCCGATTAGCATGGTTGGCTACATACGGTGCGAAAGAAGTTTAACAAACATACATGCATGGCGATCGGCAGCCAGAGCCAACGCATCGTCCACGCGCACGTTCACCCGTTTGAACGCGGTGCTCAATGGGGGCCCTGAATCGATGACTCGCTTCCACCCGTCCCCGTCCCCAGGACTCGGACGTGAGCCCCTCGCCTGCCACTCCGCCGCCGGCGTTCCCCGGCGGGAAGGAGGAGGCCGACTGCATTGATCAGGTAGGGTTGACGTTTCACACACTGGGAGCAGTGGGGGGGCGGGGCGGTGATGGCGATGTGGGAGGGTGTTGGTGGGGGATGCTATATACATGCACCTCGCTGATGAGATGGGTGGATGGGAGACGTAGATTCCCGTGTGCTGCGCTGTAGCTGTGCGGTAACGGATAAGAGAGGGGGGTGAAGGCGGCGTTATTGATGTAAAATGACACGTGTACAGTGGGCTCTAATTTAACATCGGTGACACAATGTCGTCCCGTCATTGCACTTGAAGCCGCCGCCGTCGCCGCTCTCTCCCGGTATCACGCGCGCGCGATCGTTTGTCTTGCGTGGCGCTAACGTCGTTCAGTGGGTGGGGGAGGGCTGCAATTATTGCCGTTTACTTTTTGCATTCTCTGGTTGTTTCCGTGAGCTCTCTGTTGCCTGTGGAGTTCCCGTAAGAATCGTCCCCATGCGCGCCCCTCTTGCTTTCTTGTTTGGTTTTGTCTCCTCATCTTACTGAGAAGCGCGAGCAAGCGGAGAATTAAAACCCCAAAGCACCGAGCGTTACGGCCTTCAATGGGTGGTACACCCGAGTACAGGGCCACCTGTTCAGAGGCACCCCCAATAAAATAATCGGGAGATATTATTTCGAAGCCACCACATATCTCCCACTGATAATAATGCAATTTGTAATGCGCGCAAATTTGCGTTTTGTTTTTCGAAAGCGAGGTTGTGGAGGTGAGTTTTTAAGTATCTCTTGAAGGAGACGATGGAGGTGATGCTGCGAATGTGCAGAGGTGCGGCGTTCCAGACTGTTGGGGCAGCCACCGAGAAGCGGCGCATAGCCGTGACCGTTCTGGAGCTTGGTATCGATGCAATGTATTAAGCCATTGAAGCACTCTTGTTCTATCATGTATGGAGCCATCGCTTTCGCATTATTCAATCGCCTGAGGTAGGCAAGAAGGGATCATTAGATCAAAGTCAGTTGGGGTATCTCGAAATGGATCGCCCTGCAGAATACGCAAACAAATATTACCTTTTACGCGCGTCGGCCGCGATGTAACATTTTGCGTCTGAATACGTGTTTTTTATCCTTTTGATAAAAAAAACATGAAGGCACCTCAATCTGTCCGATAATGCATTAAAACGCCGGCCGTCACACATGTTTTAGTGGCTTCATTTCACGAGCAGGGAACTGACAGTGTTTTCCATTTTTAAAATTAATTCTCGCTACCAAAAAAAAAACGAGACGGGAGCTTGGCATGATGCAGTATTTAACAGACGGAGAGCTTTCCCTCCCGGACAAATTATTTCCGTGCAGCGAGAGGGACTGCGGGACTCTGACATTGGGGCGTCGAGAATGGATGTGCATTTGCGAGATGACGTCATGCTTCACTCGGGCTGTGCGGAGAGGAGGATCGTGAAGAATCCTTAATGGACAATGCATTTTGACATTTCCAATTGGGCACAGTGCTTGGGAATTGAAAAGAGCACCGCATCTTTTCGTCTCTATCCGGGCCCTCGAATGCTGAATGCGCACGTCTTGAGTTGCCATTAAATCCCAGCGAACGCCACGCGTGCCCATTAGGGCTCCTATTAATGTTTCACATTTGACTGCGCTCTTTTTCGCTCGACTCATTTACAACCATTATGCCGTAATTTCATGAAAATATTATTACGAAGGCTGTGTGTGACTGATTAAATCAATATTGCATCTCCATTTGTGGGCGGAAAGAGAAAAAGGCCGCCTGCCACGGTTTTGTAATTCAGTAACACTGTTAAGCATATTCGACGTAATATTGTGCAGATTTTAAATTTCTTTGTTTATTTTAAATTTTTAATAGAGCATAGATTATGTAACTGCTGGCGGGCGAGACGATATTTAAATCTTTAGGTTTCACCAATTTTTTTTGGCAGCAAAAAATTATTTGTGGGTATATTCATTGTACTCGGTGCGGGCGGGAAAATGAAAACACGAGGGGGCGGCATCAGCTGCTCGCTGAGCGGAGCAGCCGTGCGCAAGCGAGGCGCCAGCCCTTCCGCCCCCCCCCTCCCACCAACGCCCGTTCTTCCTGACGACCGGTGGCGCTGCGAGGGGAAGATCAGCCAAGCCGTTAACCCTGGGGTGTGTCTCTCAAAACCGATCTCCGTCCACCTTCCGGTGACTGTCATTCTCCGTGATATAGAGACGTTACAGCAATCTTGACCAACGGCATTGTGCACACGCGTAGTGACCCTTTTGTCAGTCGTCCGCTGGTTGAAGACCTCGCCATGCTGTTGGTTACGGGGGTTATCTTGACCATGCTTCACTTACGTAGCATTATATATTATATTAAATATATATATTAAATATATATGATATTAAATATATAATGCCATGATTCGACCCCATGCAGTTATATTCAGCGTCAATATAGTGCGAAAAAACTTGCTTGTGTGCAAAGGAGCAACATCTTTAATGGGTAATTTGTACAATGTAGGTTTCATGATACAGTACTGTAATAGCCATTATTAAGTGAAAGAAAGTAAATCGTTCTCATGCAAGTGACTTTAATTCAACCACTCCAATTTAATCGGGTTAATATACTGAAAACGTGACGAACAATAAGCCACCTTGAGGAGATAGATTATTGTTGGAAACACGTTGATCAAAACTTCCGTACGAGCTCGATACATATTTTCCAGCAACACGCTCCGGGTATAGTGAATAAACTACCTGAATCGGATCCCTGTGATGGTGAATCGCGATTGGTTAAGCAAGCGATGCACTTAGCGGTTTTGCGAAGTGTCACTTGAGCACGTGGGCAGCAGGGCTTAATTGCAGCCGGATCTTTCCGTGTTCTGTTGATCCTGGAAATATTTCCGTGCCTGGCACACCACATCATCCAGTATAACTCTCGCCATCATCATCATCACGATCCATGGGCAGAGAGCCCGTAGTAGGTGTCCACTGCAAATGCCATCATTTGTTTCCACTTTCCTCTGTCTTCTGGCAATATGCTCAAATCTGGCACCGATCTCTGATTTGGTCGCCATGGCTATGGCTAATAAATCACGTGGCACCTCCCGGACTACGTTTGTTGGTGATGCGTAAAACACCGAGCGAGAAATTAATCCTTTCCTCGGCAGGCAGACCTCGCTGCCCTGCGCCGGCTTTGCCCTCGTTAAGCGCCAGGGTTCTTGTCGGCGCGAGAGCACCGTGACACACCGGGGCCCTGTGCCGGGCACGTTGGCCTCGCCACGCACGCGTGCACGGAAATCGCCGGTCACAGAGCAGCCGAGTAAGGGGGGTAAGCCAGGGCACGGTCGTGGCGAGCGCGAGCAAATTAGTGGCCGGTCGGCGGTCCCCCAGCTTCACGTTGACGCAATCTGTGCACAAATAGATTGCAGTGCAGTGGGTTTTTTTTTGCTGGAAGTGCGCACCTGCTTTATTGTTGTTGCAGCCTCTGCTTGCGGGTCGGGGTGGACCTCGGATGCGTTGTTAGCATGTCTGGCAGAGCCAGAAGGTGACTGGAGAAGTGTTTATTTAATTATTTTCCCCACAGGCATCGTTATTAGGGTTCAGCGGTCGTTCCGTTTAATGCCAACGCACTTCAGCGGTGACACCTGCAGGCTGATGTTCCGTGGGGCCCAACGCTTTTGTTCGGTTTCGCATTCATCTCGCGTTTGGCAGTTCGGTTCCAAAAAGACGCTCCCAGCACGTGGAGTAAAACGTCGGAACCTCGCGCCCAACAACTTGGGAACACGTCCGAGAGCTGTCGGCGGTGCACGTTTCATTTAAGCGACGTTGAACGTTCGGCGCGAAAGTCACATGTGCGCCATCGGTCTTGTGAACCAAAATCAGTGACTTTGTATTACGGTGCAAAAACATTTCCCTCGCTCCCTCCCTCCTCTGAAATCATCAGCTGGGTGGTGCTTGCCGGACACACATGGAACTCTTAGAAATTAGACTCGTGCGTGCAGCTGCCCCTCCATTGACGCGGAGCGCGAGTTCCGCACAGATACGCGGTAATGCGTGCGAGTGCTCTTCACCGCATTACCGTGTCCAATGGTGAAAGCCTACAAATGATGCCGGCACTTTTGTTTTCGGCTATGATACCACTGTCTGGTTTTGTAAAAATTATTGTGAACCGTTTGTTGACAGTGCTGCGTCATTTGGATAAAATACGCTGCTCACTTTAAGATTCTGTGATGAGCTGTCCCACGCTCTGATATATTGACTGAACGCTCAATAAACCCAATTCAATATTCCGCTGTGACGCACAAGTAAACCGTTTTTTAAAAATGCCATTTATTTATATTTACTACGTTCTTGGCCTTTTCAACGGAGATATTTATGCAAATCAAAATGACCGGTTTGATCACTTGGGTCGTTACATTCGTGGAAACCCTCCCTCACCTCCCCCCCCCATAATTCACATTTTCTCGCATACCAGTTTAACATTTTTTTTTATATTTCTCTCTTTCCGTAATGTCTGTTAAACACGTTAAACGCATCTGAAGGCCGTGGTCGGTTCAAGCAATTAAATAATATAATTCGCCTTTAAAATTGCCTGTCCGTTTCAAACTTAAGTTCACGTCTACTGTGCTCACAAGTGCGAGCCCCCCCCACCTCCACACCCCCCCTCCCCCCTACCCCCTCCACCCTCCCCCTCCCCCCTCCCCCCTCCCCCCTCCCCCCTCCCACCTCCCCCCTCCCCCCTCCCCCCTCCCCCCTCCCCCTTCCCACCTCCCCCCTCCCCCCTCCCCCCTCCCACCTCCCCCCTTCCCCCTCCCCCCTGCTCACGAATCTCGGGAGCGTCACCGCGAGCAGGAGCCGGACCTCCCAGAGAAAGAGGCTTCGGTCGCTTCTCTCCCCCCCATCCGTTCCCTCTCTTCCCGTGTGTTGAAAAGGCGCCAGCTGCCTTTTCGCGGAACGTGACTGACACTTCATCTCGGGAAGTCATTTCCGCAAGTTTATTTATTCATTTGCGCTGGGTGGGGAGGGCGGGCGGGGAACTAAATTACTCGTGGTGGGACGGACTACGGGCGGACGTCTCATTCTGTTACGGGGGGGGGGGGGGGGGCGGCTGCTGGCTCCGTGTGCCCACTCGCGCTGGATAATTACCCGCCGCTCGTGAGGAGCTGTGTCCGCCATGCGCTCTCCTTTCGCTCGCAAGTTCAAGAGGGTTCACGAAACAGGAGGGGAGAGTGCTGTTTTATAAGTTACAGACACACACGCATGTGCTTACAGTATAATATCACCATTGTCGTCGCCATCATCGTTAATATTCTGCTGCTCAATGCTTCTGCTTTTTAGGGCAGAGAACGTTATTGCATACACAACAAAAACAATGTCTAAATTAGAGACGATTTTGGAAGAAGAAGAAAAAAAAACGCCCATCGGCAAAGACGTTCACAGTTGGCGTTTTTTTAAATTCAGGGCGCCGGCTGCTGCTGCCGGATGTTGTTAGGAGTGCGAGCGGTTGCGCCGATGGGCGTTTGCGATGACACAAACCGGAGATGGCGCATTAGTGGCACACGATACATTATCGCCGCGCTGACAGCGCTTATTCATCACGACACAATGGAACGATGCGGCGAACACTTTATTCTTTCGTGCACGGACTCCTAAAATAGAAACGAGTTACAACGCTCCCGTCGAAGCGGTTCGTTTGCGTCGAGCACGACTCTCTTGTTTGTTGGCATTCGATTCGGAGGGAGGGCGGTGGTCGTTCTCGAACGCTGTCGCTGCCCTGCGTTCACATCGTCAACGTCCGTGTCGCTCTCCGATGTTTCATTCGCTGGCTCGTGCGCTCCGCGATCTTCCAAGCACCCGTCGAGGCTAGCCGCCTCTTCCAAGGGAGACCTGGGGGAAAAGGAAGCAATTATGGGAAAGATACTTTTCCCGTTGAAGCATAGGTAAATTGAATAATTTACGGAAATTCTACGCTCGTCAAGAAACGCCGCTGCGAGTTTCGAAGGTTTTTTCCAGGCCGGTCCTGTATGTGATGTTTGGCTAATTCCTGATTGAATATTTGCCAGAGAAATAGGCACTCATGAATATACGTTTAAAATAGTCCGATAGCCCGGGCGGCCGCGGCTACGCACTGCTGTGTAAATCCAGCGCTGCGGTGGTGAGCGCTGGTGGAGCTCACTGATGTCGTGAAACTCCCTCTCCGTTAAGTGTCGAGGATCCATAAACCTGGCTCGCCAGTAGATGGCAGAACAGTGAGTGGATTCACCTCCATCTGTTTCTATTTGTAGCTAATGGAGGTGACGTACAACGTCGATCGATCTTGCCCTGTTGACTGATTGAAAACTGATGTCTTTAAAACTGCTTTCTGTGTTTAGTTTGTTCTTCCCCCGCACCTTCGATTAGCGCGGTTGGCTACGTACGGTATGAAAGAAGTTCCACATTGTACGGGGATTGAGTGTTGCCCCCTCTCCCCGCCCACCTTCGCAAGCATGGGTTTTTTTTCTCCTTTCTCCGGTACTCCGTTTTTCACACGCATGTAAAATCAGTAATGAATGGAGTGGGCCAAATACCCGGTTAGGGCCACAGAGCATGGCCAATTATTGACGCCGGTACTGGTTGCCTTCCTGCTTATCCATGGTTTCCCACCACTTTGAATCTAAGGAAATGTGTACTCGTTGCGAATGTGCACCTTTTAGCGTTGAACTTTTCTCACCCACTTAGTCGCCACCTTGCATCGCAGCGCGTTGCGAGTCAGTCGTGCGCAATGTGATCTGTGTGATCCCCCAATCCCACATCCATTGCCCTCTAACAGCCAATCACAGGTGCGTTGCAATACAAACTGCGCGTAGGTTTTCGCGGCTGTGCCGTCGAGCTCTCTGGCGCGTATATCGGGGGGTTGTCCCGTGGCGATGAAGAAGCTCCGGATTGGAACGAAACACCGGACATCATGTTCACGCTTGGGGGCAGCCGTGCTCTAATGAGGGTTTAAATGTAGACCGAGCTGCGAGCACGATCTCCTCGCGAAGCCGCGCGTGTGCCATCTCGCGTCACCTCCATTATCTCGCAAAAACGAGCTTAACTGGCGTGCGAGATCGGTCGAAGGGGACACCATCGATCGACCGACGTCTTGCGGCGCCTCCATTAGCTTGCGGTGTAATGGTTAGTGCGCACAGGACGTGCGATCCACAACTCGACGGTTCAATTCCCACCCCTCCCCCTCCCGGCATGGCAGTTGAAACAAGGCCGTGCATGTTTCTTCAATGTCCCCTTCCCCCCCTCTGTCCACGCAGCAGCATGAAGAAGTGATCTGGCCACTTAGCTCAACAAAGTGGCTTATCATCACGTGGAAATTTATGGCAGCCAAATGCTCGTAAACGCATGTCGATGCTAAATGTGGAGGGAAAAACCGGAGGACCGGGAGAAACATCTATGCAACCACGGGGAGAGAGACAAGCAAACTCAAAATGTATTCCAGGCGCCAGGGTTCGGGATCGAACACACAACCTCCTGTATACCAGGTGAGGTAGTGGGCACCCCTTGGTCAGCGTAGAAGAGGAGGCACAGATGCCCTCTAGCGCTCCCTCTAGTGGACGCCATTTCTGCCAGCGGTGACATGAGCGAGCAATTGCAGAGTTGAACCTTTACCATTTTGTTTACCTTTTCTTTTAACTTTTTTACCTTCAGCTCTTTTACATGAACCTTCATTGGCTCCATGGTGAAATGGTTACCACACTGGACGGCGCAATGCGGAAGTCGCTGGTCCGATTCGATTTCCCGGCGCGGCACATAAAACAATTGGCGCGCCTCCGTCCGCCCACTTAGACCATCCTCCACGAACCGGCTTCACGAACTGGCTCCGCTGTGTTGCTGGAGGTGGGCCAGCAGAATCGTGCTCCGTTGAGACGGTCAACCCAACCGCAGCAGCGCAGAGCGCTAATACGGCTTGCCGCAGGCGGTCAGTCGACCGGCCGACTGGCCGGCGCCTCCGCCCCAATGCGAGGAATCGATAGTTCCGCAATTATAATTTCTCGCTCCGCCTCCGCTCTGCGACGGGCTGCCCCATTAGTGGGACCCTCGTGACACGGTCGCCGCTTTGCCCTGCCAATCCTCGCGTGCCCGGCCGCCGTGCGAAAGGGGATGTCCGTCCGCTCCGAGCTTGGCGCAGGCAAAGGTGCCGCCGCCTGTCGCGGCCCTGTGTCCGTCCCCTTTGCTCGACAGGGTGTCACCCGTTGGGTGGTTGCGCTTTGCGAGTCGCCGGCCAAACGTTCTGATCTCGGCTGAACAAAAGAGGCTGCGCTTTGCGGTTTCGTGCTGCACGCGGCTGTGAAGAGGATTGGTGGCTTGGTGGGGTTTAGTAGGACCGCACAGTGGCGATGCCGTCATCGAGTGTGCAGGCGGTGCAGCCGCACGGCTGAATATGGTTCTTAACGATTGCTACTTGCAACGCGGATGGGCTCTATCTGGTGAATAAAATCTCATGTACACTTTCACGGAGGTTTGCCCAGCCAATATAAAGGCTTTTGATATTTTGACGAATGCTTACGCAAACGCAACAAGCGTGCATGAATAAAATTGAGACAATTATCTTGAATATCGCCGTTGAACCTAGAATCTTGGTGGCTACCCATTTGGAAAATTATTCTGGCTCCAGCCTATTTGCAGGAGGAGGCTAGCTGGGGGGGGGGTTAGGGCAGCTCGGGGGACAGCGAGGGGTTGGGGGGGGGCAGCGAGGGGGTGGGGGGATATTTTTGTGAGTTGAACAGCAGCCAACGGATGCCCATGGCAGATCAGCTGCCTCCAATTCATGGAAAATTTGGGCTCCTGGTTTTGTCAATTATTTTATCTAAGTAGCTCCGAAATGTCCTCTACAGCCGTCTGTGAAACATCAATTTTGTTTTGCTGATGCGCAGGTCAGGGGCTTGTTTACACAGTACGCAGTAATTGTGGCTGGTTGTTTGGAGCATATCAGAAATTGTGCCCTGCATGCAGAGTGGTCAGGGACTAGGGTTGCCCGCGAGTGCGTGCGTGCCTGTGTACGTATGGGAGCGCCGACCCGAGTTCGATTCCCGCTCTCACGGCCAACATCGGTGACAAATATTTGATTTGGTCCTGGGCCTCCCGTAGGTCGACTTAGCCTTAAATGAGTGCCTGTTGCGGTGTGTAAACATCAGCACTGGGGAGACAAAGGTGGCCGGGCGTGGTTTTGTCCATCCAACTCCTCGTGTGTCGGATAATTCGTGAAATGCCGAGGTGCCCGCTTTGTAGAGTGCACCTCAGAATAACGTGCGGTCGTTGATCCGTTGAATACGTGGGGCCCAGAGTTTTTGTGAAGGAGTCGGAGTCAGTATGGCCGTGTGGGTTTTCACGTTCGTGCTGAACAGCTATCTGATGTTTTATTTTGTGTCGTACCGTGTGTTGTTTTGGTATGACGTCCGACGTTTCGCTCCACATTGGAGAGTTGACGCCCATACTTTTTCAACCTTCGTATTCCTCCACAGTTCATACAACCGGGACGTACTTTTGTTCAAGTTTCGTGTCAGTACGGGCAGCATTTTGCTTAAAGGTGTTTATCCCAAGTTGCACACAGCATACTGCACAAACTGCGTGAGTTTCGGTCACATTGCCAAGGTGAACAAAGTTGCAGGATGGTTGTAGTGGTACAGACATGGTGGTAGGTATGTATGTTGAACTTCTCTCGCACCGTACGTAGCCAACCGTGCTAATCGGGAATGCGGGGGAAGGACAACAAACTAAACACAAACAGCACTTCTAAAGAAATTAGTTTGAAATCTGGATTTTAAAATGCATAGCTCTAGTGACTTGCTAATATCAGAAGTAAAAGCATTCCAGATGACCGCAGAAGTGCATCTGAAAGCGCATGATGTAATTCCATCTTTGTTCGATGGCCGGCCAAAAGCCGCTGCTGCGAGGATGGCCGAAGTTGGCGTGATGACGGTTTAACGTCGTCCATGGCGACGTGCTGCTGTCTGTAGGTGCTGCTACTGGAGGAGATGGAACAACTCCGAGACAAAGTCCGAGATCAGGAGATGATGATCGAGCGATTGCAGGCGGAGCTGGTGAGTGCCGCGCATCGATTTGACTCATCTCAAACGTATGTTCCTACTTCAGCAGGTGGGCATCCTCCGAGATGCATCGTCAAACATTTTCGCAGTTGATCTCATAAGAAAAATATCTGTAAGTTACATAACACGAGTGGGTTTTACATACAATTGTCCAACACGTTTCCAGGTTCAGCCGCTTGTTGTTCAGCCCGACGTCCGACGTTTCACTTTACAAGCCGAGAGCTTCTTCAGGAGCCTAAGTAGAGGGACGGAGTTTCCTGAAGAAGCTTCCGGAAAAGTGGAGCGAAACGTCAGACGACGGGCAAGTGGTGCAACCTGGAAAAAAAATACACTTGAGATCGCCATAGTTGTGAGTAGTGGTTCTCAATTTGTTATGAGGTCTACATTGATGATTCAATGTGGTGTGAGTTTACCTGTTATATCGCAGGTTTTTGATGTCTGCTCTAAAAGCAGAGGCACTTGGGTAATTACAGAAACCACGGGGTGGCGGCAGAAATAAAACGGATGACTCGGCACAAACTAGCCCAGCGGCTAGCATGCAGACCACTACACCATCCCATCATCCCACGAGCCAGTGCGGCGTAGGGTTTGAATTATAATGTCAATAACGCACACTTTAATATAAAAATACTTGAAAAATGACGTTCAAAAACTTTTAGGCACATTTGCAAAGATTAATGTATATACATATGTAAAAATAAAAAAAGACACAATTACATCTTGGAAGACAAACTGAAATGATGTCGTAGCCGGGCGCAGGGCAGTCACGAGAACTCCTCTTAATAGCCGAAGAGGATTCATTACTTGTGGAGCTTGGGAGCGGCGGCGGCGGTTCGACGGTCCAAGTGAATCGATCAAAGGTGACACCGAATGCCATCACACACAGGATAGAACAAAAATAAATCACGAGCACGGCTCCTATTGCCGGCGATTGCTGTCCACTTTGACGAATGCCAGCTGCTTTGCTCCAAGTGTCCCACGCCCACGACTGTTGTCGCCCCTGGCAGGAGGAGAGAGGCAGGGATGGAAGATCGGCGTCTGTCGCGGCGGGGACCTCCTTCGAGTCACGGCCCCCTCGCGCCGAGCGTGGGACGCAAACCACCGAGCCCACGCAGCCCGCGAACGTGCGTAACCTCCGCTCTCGTCCGTCCGCGTGTCCCAAAAACCCGAAGGAAAAAAACACCGCCACACTTGTTTATCTTTCAGGGTGGAGGGGGCACCTGCCTCGCGTGTGCAGCGTTGAGTTTCAGAGGGCAGAAAGTTCGCCTTAGCATTTGTCATGCCCCGTGTTAACATTCTTTGCGGTGGTATCTTGGAAGTAAGCCTCGACCCCCGTAATCTTAATAGCTTGGCCCACAGGATAAAGGGTTTATTTTGGACCTTGGTACTTCGAGCGAAACCTTTTTTCTTTCCTCTGTCCGTCTCAGAGGAGCCTTAAAGGTGACTTAACTTTAAATGTCTCGTCCCTTGTTGTTTGCAAGTCTCTTCTGTTGCTGCTCCTGTGTAACTCCTTTTTCTCCTCCTGCCCTGCTTCCTCTGACTTGATCAAATCGTGCCGTCGTCAGAAGGCCACGGGGCCACGCAAATCCTTTTTGCCTGTGCGGACGGCACGCGGCCCGCGTCCAGACAAGCAGAGTGAGTTGTTCTGCAGCATCACTCCCCCCCCCTCTTCCTATCTCGCTCTTTGTCCCCCCTCTGTGGTCTTTTTTGTATTTAATGTTTACAGCCGTCACCTCTGTTTCCCCCCCCCCTCTACTCGCCGATTAAAATAAAATGGGGAGGGGGATGGGAGGGTTGGTGGGGGTGGAAAAAAAAACCGATGCCACAAGTTGGCCCAGTGGGTTCACCTGAGAGGGGAAGGAAATGGCACGGTCGGGTCTGGAGTGATTCCAAGAGGTGAAATTAGCTGCCACAATTGATTGACTTCACCAAAGCCGCCAGGCGTGTCAGCGTGGCGATGAGATGCCACCGCCGGCTCGCACGCGCTCCTAATTAAGTGTCGTCGTCGATGGGATTTGTGAAGAAGAAAGACGAACGTTCGGACCTCTCGTTTTTTGTTGTTATCCATGTTGCGTAACCGCCACCGCTGCTGCCGCTGCCGCTGGTTTATTTCTCATTTCATTGTTTCCCCCTTCTTGTTTCTCCTCCTCCTGTCGTGTAATCCTGCCGATTTACCCACCCCCTTCCAGCCATTTTCTTCAGCGCAGTCTGAGCGCACGAGGTAAAGCGGTTGCACTCCTCGACTTAGTTTGCCGTGATGTCCGCGCGGGTTTATGCGGTGTGAATCCCCCACCACCCCCCACCACCCCCCTGACACCCACCACCCCCCACCATTGTCCCCTGTGTTGTGCCCCCCTTATCCCGCGTGGATTGCGGAGTCGATGATAACTGTGAAATCATGCGTAATGGACCGTTTTTTTTGATGCCATAAAATTGGATTACATACGAAAGCCAGGTTAATTTGTAGCCTGTTCTTATTAAGTTTGACTTGCTAAGATAACCTGAGGCGTTTTTTTCTCCCATTAATTTAAGATCCTTGCCGACGGATATATTTTTTTATCCTTTTTTTCTCAATCAAAATAGGAGATCATGTGGAGTATAACTTGGCTGTACATTTTAGTTAAACTTTTTGCACATCGACTTCTGTCCTCCAAGACAGTGTCTATTTATTTTAGTTTTTAACGATGAAAGAAAACAGTTTTGTTCTACAAAAAAAAGTGTCCGTGTTAAAATTTTGTATTGATTTATTTTTATTTCAGACGTGCCGCCGCCCGACTACAGACACAGTGGCCAGCGTAGCGGGCACTTTGGCAGCCACACGGCCATCCGCGGGCCCCAGTGAGGCAGCTCGGCCAGACCTCCAATTTGCCGATCGTTTTCAAGCTTCCCATGACGAATCCTCTGGACGCGTCGGGGACCTGCACGTCAAAACGGAACTCGTCGCGACTGCAGAATTGTCCCGGTCGCTGCAGCAGCAGCAGCACGCATCCGACGGCCTTTACCGCTGTGGTCCCTGCAGCGTCCTTATTGATCGCGACGGTAAAACGGCGAGAGCAAAGGACTCAGACGAGTGCAGGTCATGCGCCAGCCCACGAGAGCGGTTCTTTGAACCGCAGTCTCGTTACAGACCTTGCGCCGCCTCGGCTTCCGCCGCGCAGGGCGAGAACGAAGCGGCGCCGGTGCGGCCTCCGGATGAAACAAGCTGGCCGGTTGGCTCGAGTGACCCCGCACGAGGCGGGGCGGTCGAAGGCTTCCGCGCGGGAATTGCTCCCATCGCCAGGACGGTGGAGGCGAAGAACGGCGTCGACGCCGCGTCGGTCGACCTCCGGAGGCACGCCGCCTGGGCCCCGGTGGGCGACGGGCGCGGCGAACGCGCCGACTTCACGGCCGGCGCGGCCGGTATCGGCCGCCTCGATAACCCCGCACCGGTGGGAGGCCTGCGTACCTCGACCGGGAATGGCAAACCGGTTGACGGTTCGGAGGACAGATTTCTTGGCCCGCGGTGGGACGAACCGACGAGCGGATGGCAAAGCCAAACGGAGCGACCGTGCGACCAGATGCGAGGACTGGGTCACCTGACGTCGATCCCCATGCCAAGAGGAGGAGGAAGAGGAGGAGGGGACTTGAGGTGCTTCTCATCACCGCTCCCAGGGCACTTAGCGGAATGGGTCTGCTCCGAAGGCGAGATTGCAGATAACGGCTCGGGTATTGCGGTGTCTGGAGAAGGAAATTGCTGTCAACTTATCGCTCAAGACAAGCCCGGTTTTGTTGTCAGTGTTTAATTCTCCCAGATGCCTTTTTGTAATCTCTCTCTCCTTACCTTCATGGGAATGAAGGTTGTTTTTCTGTGGAGCTGTTTATTGGGGATATTGATTTTTGTTGATACGATACATAAAGAAGGGCAGTGATCTACTTTAATGCACAATACATAAAGTACAATAACACAGATTATGAGTACCACATTAATAACAATAGCCATAGCGGTGGCCTGCTTTATGCGGTGTATATAAGGTGTAAATTTCTCGACATTAAATCACACACACGGACCGTAGTAGAGGTTTGAAAGTTGAATTCTGCAAATAGCAGATTTGTGATTCCGAAAAACAAACCAATACACGCACGTACGCACGCACGCACGCATGCACGCGAGCGAAAAAACCCAAACTCTTTGTACATATTATATCTTGAGACAAATGTCCAAGGACATTTTGATGGCGTGAATAGAAGACCTTTTAAACACTTGTGCTTTTCCAAGCGTTATCAAACAGGGGCGAGTGCTGGAAGACTCCGTATAGGAAAAACGTCGAGTGACAGGAATTACTTTAAAATGCATCGGGTGAGTCGAATGTATATATGAAAAAAAAAATCCACGTTTCTTTAAGGGTACATCTCAATATATTGCACATTCCATTGTATTGTACAGGATAAGTAAACACTCTTACACTGGGTTTTTAATGACTGTAAACGATTGTTTTTGTTTGGTATCTACTTGTTGTGTGGGCACAATGCAATTTACACGAGGGGGGGGGTGGAGGAGGCGGTGATGGAGAAACAGCATTGTGGGTGTTCAGGGTGGACAGTGGCAGGAGCTGGGAGTAGGACTTGATTCCGGTGGGAGGGGATTCCGTGGAACCTTTCACTCATCGCTCTATGGGGTATTCTCAGGCTGCACTGCGCATTGTTCGTCTTGATGTCCGACGTTTCACTCCACGTGCTTGGGAGCTCCATCAGTTCTCAAAGTTATTCTCCATGTGCCGGGGAGCTTGTTGAGGAACCGAGGAGTTGAACAAGGTCCCACCGAGCACGTGCCGTGCCGAACGTTGCGCTGTGCAGCCCGAAAACGTGTGTACAGCACGGCCGCCATCGCTTGTGGTTGAGATGCAGAATGTGAATGTTGTTGCTGCGGTGAACGCCTCCATCCCTCCACGGCCTGAGCGCGCTCCGCACCGCCTGTGCGCTTGACGTCCCCACGTGTTTGCGTGCGCAAGTGCAACGGCGCCTATTTATTTGCACTTAATCATGTATATGTTGCGCACGACGTTGCCTCGTGTAAGGTCCACTCTTCTCCGCCCTTTTGGGCCGAAGCCGCTCGGGTCGGATGCACCCGAGCGGCCGTCTTGTCTGTCTGGGATGGCGGCGCGCGTTTGTGTCGCTGGACATTTGAGATGCGACGCCTTCCGCCTTCCGTGCTGCAATCACCAAGTGTGAATCTTTATAATCTTCGACCCGTGCGTGCACGCGCGTGTGCGTGTTGGCACGTAACGCCACAACGAATGATAAACGCCGATTCCAGTTGGTTGTACGGGACAGGTGGCTTCAATATGTAAAACAATATGGCCCACTTGAGAGTAATTTTTGTTGGTACGTTTTTCGAGGGACAGTAAGCGCATTGTGGATCGCGATGCTCGTGTGTGAATATACGGCCTGCCTGGGTCTCGCATCGCTCTGCAGCGAATTGTTTTTCGCTTGTTACGCAGCGATATTTTATTCATATTTGAAGCCATAGGTGAACAAACAAAACCGTGCATTTAATTACTTGATGAAGTACTGTGGGCAAGAACATATTATGAAGTGTGTTGTGGTTCGTTTGTCTCTTTGAATACAAATATAGATTTATTTACAATGGGAGGGGTGGGTGTAGTCTGGCCGCATGCTTTTACAGAACAAATTATAAAACGCAGCTCGCGAACACGGATATCCAGCCCGCGATGCACAAAACGCAAACATCGCGTACATTCGAGGCATCCTCTCGCCTCGTCACAACGCGTGAAATGTAACGGAAGCTTTAATATGCAGCCGAAATGTAACAATTGTGAACGTGTAAAAAACACACAAAAACATCAATGTACATATATAATAATCGAGGAAACTTTGCATCCCTTTGTAAAGTGACCACGCGCAAGGGATGTTCCTTACAGCAGTCCTGACCCCCCCCCAGCTCCTGATGTTATCACCAGCGTTTGCGGGGAGGCATCTTTAAGCGGGGTGCTGTGACGTCCCTTCGTTGCCAAGCAACTCCCAAGTGTGCCCGATGGTGACCAACCTTCAGTGTTCTTCTAATCGTTGCGCACGCGTTGTGTGCCTGGTTGTGTGTGTGTGCACGCGCGCGCAGAGTTTCTCTCGATGATGAGACACCGGAATCGCATCCCACGCGCTCCCCACGGGATGTGAGCGTGTGTGCACGCGCGCGTGTTGGCCAGCACCGCGCCCGGCCGCCTTTGTCTAACCAGTGGCGATGTTTACTCCACATCGCACCAGGTACTTATTTAAGGCTGAGTCGACCTAGGGGGGGGGCCCAGCACCGGTTCAGATAATTGTCACTGGCGTTGGCCGTGAGCGGGAGAATCGAACTCCGGTCGCCGGGTTCGTAACGCAGCGCGCCAACCGGTACACTACCGCTCGCCACACACGCACATATGCGCGCACACACACACACACGGGAGCAGATAACCCCCTACGGCCAGTCACGTGCAGCGACGATAGTTATTTGTGGTACGCCTGTGCAATATGGGAGAGCGGTTGCGCTTCTTACAGTCGACAAAGGGAGGAGATAAACTATGTTGTGCTCGAGTAGGGTTTTTTAAACTACCATTTTCTGTTATCCGTTCTTTGTATGAGCCAGCAGTGCTTCTTTGTGTCTAGTGGGTAGCTGCACATTTTAATCTTTTTCAGTAGTATGTGATGGGTGTTTTATGTTTTTTATGGGATTCCCTCAATACAAGGTTCAAAACACTCGTAACTGATTTTATGCGATGGTGTTGCTGATTGTTGGTACGGATAAAAAAAAACGTTCAATGGTTCAAGTTTCACCTGTGAAAAAATAAAATTTTCAAAGTCTGAATTTCACTCGTATGCAGTTCTGCTCATTGTATGTGTTGGCAATTGTTTGAAAGTACAGAATGGAAATGCATTACCCCATGTTCACTATGACAACAAAAACCCCAACGCATTAATGCGTCGAGTCTCAGCCTTCGTTATGACAGCCCCTCAATCAAGATGCAGTGGCGAGATGTTAAGTACCACGCCTGGTATACATGAGGTCGTAGTTTCGATCCCGACTCTGACGCCTGCTGCTGTATATTTGCGTGTTCTCTCTCTCCCCGTGGGCGACTGGATTTTTCTCCGGGTCCTCCGGTTTTTCCCTCCATGTTTAGAAAGATTAGTTTCGAGTATTTGGCTGCTATACATTTCCACATGATCGGCCACCTGTCATTTGTGGCCAGGTCACTTCTGAAAAAGAGCTATATAGCTCAGTGGACATTACCTGGTTAAATAAAAAATAGTTTTGTTAAGACCCCTCCAAGGTTACCAAGGCCACGGCACACCTGAGAGGTCACGTGTCCATTCTTCCAGTCAATGTGGTTGGTGAGACATTCCACGCGAATTAAGTGTATGTCGTGTTTGTAAGGCACCTTGAATTGTCACAATTGATCGAACCACAAGAGGAGGCAAATCGTTAGGAGCCCAGTTAACAGTCCGTATAATATAAAATGTACAATGTTTGTAACGACTGCAGATTCATCATCATCAAAGTCATGAATAGTAGCAATACTCAGGCGCTGTGCATTAAACAAGGCTGATGCTGCAACAGCATTTGAGGTCCCTCAATTGCTCTCCGGGTGCAGTTATAGTGGCACGGCACCTGCCACGGCAGCTTCCTCTGACACGGCGGAGGAAAATGATTTGTCATTTTTGCTGCTGTGCAGAATTGTTGCGGACATTGGCTTTAACAAGATGGTGACTCACGGGGCGGCGGCGGGGGTCCTATAAACATGTGGCACTCATTGTCGGGAGACTTTGTGTGATGTCATGGACGACATCATGCCTTGGTACAGCGATGGCATTGCATCTGCTCGTCGGTGTTATGCTCGTGAACCTGGTGCTGCTAACCAGCAGGTGGGGAGCGGTGGTGTAGCGGTTAGCACGCTGCGCTACGAACCCGGCGCGAGCCGAGTTCGATTCCCGCTCACGGCCAACCCCAGTCCTGGGGCCTCCCCTAGGTCGACTCGGCCTCAAATGAGTACCTGGTGCGGTGTGTAATCATCGCCGCTCGGGAGACAAAGGCGGCCGGGCGTGGTGCTGGCCACCCATTCCCTCGTGTAATCTATCAGCTTCCATGGGTGAACGCTTACTGCGCTTTCCCCAACAATCTGTTAAGGCTATACGGGGATCTTTGTCTTTGCGGGCCTTGGATCCGAGCACGCGATCAATTTGTCCACAATTCCTTTGCTGTCAAGAACTGCCGTTATAAATAGAACGCATATATATAAATATATATAAATACACACCGTTTAGTCCAATTTATATTTCACAAGCTGGCCCTGCGTGTCAGTCACTTTGCTAAATGTACATCTGCTAAAACCAACTTGAATGCTCCGTGATTTGGAGCAAAAAAAACAGTCGGGGGGGGGGGGGGGGCGGAGCACACGGTCGTCGCTGTGCAGGCCAAACTAGAATCCATCGATTCATCTCAAAATGTTCTTCCACTTCGGGTGAAGTGCTGGGAAATCTGGCGTGTGGACAGGCGATCTATTTGCTCGCTTTCGTTCGCCGTGACGACACAGCTGGTAATTATGTAAAATAGTTTTCGAACACATTTCAGAATTTCAAAAATGATGCCTACGATTTTCATTGACAATTTTGCAATGAACCTCAACGGTCGTCGTTGCAATCATTGTAAGAGGTCAACGGAGTCGTGCTTAGGAAACACATGGGTATGATGCCCCTCCCCCCACACAGCCCCCCCACCATCCCCAACCAGCACCAAAAGCACAACTAAGGTTACTCAGGCCACAGTGAACAAAGACTTCACGTGTCCATTGCTCGAGTCAGTGTCGTGTTAGTGAGACATTTGGTTCACGTGTATCGGTGCATGTTGTCTTCGTAAGGCATTTGTTCCATCTTGTGCACGAGCACGCTTTGTGTTCGTAAGGCATTGTTTTCACGGTGGCGCTGATGTTACCCCGGGCACGTTCACATTTTCTCCTGCAAGGTATCCATGGCACAGCCTGTGCCCAATGTGCCCAACCCGAAAGGCTTTGCGGGGCGAGAGCGGGGTGCTCCCCATGGCATTGAGAACTGCTGGGTTCATTCACGTTTCGGGAAATGGCGCTTCACAAAAGGCACGTGTCTCGTGTCGGACGTGCGTTGTCTCTCGTAGGCGTGCGTTGTGCACCACTGGCAGTGGAGTTCTTTACGTCATGAAATTATTTTAGAAGTGCGCACGACGAGCGAAACACAAGCGCGAGGCTAACAAAGAGAGTGCGCGCCAGCTGAATAGATGCCCGTTGTTGTGGCCTTGTCAACAGTCCATTTAGAGGCGCAAATTATGTCTGCGCCTGGGAGTTGAAGGCTATAGCCATTATCTTTCTGAGCGGCCACTCTAAAATCAGAGCCTGCCTCCGCCCCCGCCTGCACTTGCAGCGTGTTCCCCATGGCAGAGTGGGAGTCTTCGTCTCTCCGGTAATCATCACGTAGAGTTTTACGTTTCAAAAGTTACATTGGACGTAGATTCGCGCAGCTAACGTTCACGTTTCGGAGCTTCGACAAGTCAAACGTTCGTTTGAACATGAACCCTCAAGTCGACCCCAACACTCTTGCTGGGGGGGGGGGGGGGGGTGAGAAATGTGACGTCATAACAAAATGCGCAACTTTAAATAAATATAGACAACACGTTCTACTTAATGAAATAGACTTTTTAATACATGTTTTCTCCTACAACATCAGGGTGCAGCGCCACATTAAATACGCACTACAATGAAAATAGTTTAAAGCGATTTGAAGCATGTTTTATATATTTTTTTAGGGGGGGTCAGAGCTTTGTGACGTCATATTTGAGGGGGGGTCTGACTTTTTGTGATGCCGTGTGACGAGGGGGGGGGGGGAGGTCAAAAATCGTCCAAAATCGCGTGACGTCATTTATGGACGGCCCCTAATGTGGATATTTATAGCGGTAAAATTATTAAATCATCTATCCGCCGCAACGCTTGCAACCCTCGGGGAAGTCGTGCGCATCGAGGAAGACAGTCGCCTCTTCCCATTCACCAACACCGCAACAACGTCCCTCGTCCTCGCTTGAAGTCACGAAAGCCCCTTGTGGCCCCACGCGATTAACCGCAATGCGAATTCAACTCCAACGAAGCCTGGCGAGCTGAATGTAGTTCAAAAAGAACTCGCAAACAAACACCTCGCTGTGAAAACCCCAACGCAGACGATCCATGGGTTTGATCTTCCACGAAGCTCATGGTCCACCCTAAACCGCATCCACTGCACAGATCGTGGCAGATGCGGATACCCTGATGCACAAATGGAAGATTAAAAACTCTACAGTCGTGTTGTGCCACTGTGGTCATCCAGAACAGACCGTACAACGTATAACGACGATCCACAAATACGAAGGAGACTTCACAGCGATGATGATGCACTACTCCACGACGCCTGCTGACGGGGTTATCTGGACTTGACCACCTGCGTGTGAAATTGTAGTTGTTGCACTGCATCTACATCAGCAGACGATGAGAATATATGCTCTGGCGACACGCATGAAGGTAGATATGTTGAGCATATGTAAGGGGGAAGAAATATGTCAACAGGTTTTAGCATTGGATTGATGAATTAGAGGTAAGTGCCTTGAGAAGACATTGTACAAGTGTAATGCGGGCGTAAATGGGCGGGGCGGATATGACGATCCGAGAGGGAGGAGTCAGGGTGACGTGGGGGAGAAGTTATAGCGGGGAGACAGGAAGCTATCTGGGTCAGTCGGGGGAGTGAAGGGTGGTGAACACGTTGGGTGGTCGCCGTGCCTCAGCCTGGTGGCTGAGGGGCTCATGACGGCGCCAGCCAGCGGGGTGGAAGAGAGAGTGGAGGATTGAGGTTGGAGATGGCGAGATAGCCACAGAGGCCACGAAGGGCTGAGGTAGGAAGTGGCGAGATAGCCACAGAGGCCACGAAGGGCTGAGGTAGGAAGTGGCGAGATAGCCACAGAGGCCACGAAGGGCTGAGGTAGGAAATGGCGAGATAGCCATAGAGGCCACGAAGGGCTGACATTGGGAGGTGGCGAGATCGCCACGCACGGAGGAACAGGGAGCAGCGATGGAGCTGCTGTGGGGGCAGCCGGAGGGCTGCACCAAGAGCCTGCAGCAGAGCTGCAGGAGCGTGGAAGGCTACGGGAGCGAAGGCAGATGTGGGGCTGCCAGGGAGAGAGTCTCAGGAGGAGTGCCGTGTGGGAAGGAGAACGCGAACCCCAAATAAAGGACACGGAGTCAGCAAGAAGTGTCTGAGTCCCTTTATTACACTGGAGTCAGAAGTGAAACGGCATCTCAAAACAACTGAGAGAAAGAAGAAAAAAAAATATTCCTGCTACATCATCCGACGACGACGACCTTCCTCAGACAGTGGACCTGCCTGCGATGGAAGAGGAGATCCGTTCTGGAACGAGTACGGGTCCGGGTGAGCAAGGTGTCGCCGCGTCGGTGGACCTGTCTGTGCCGGAGGATGCCAACTTACGATGGAGACAGATGGTGATGCAGATGGGGACCTTGAAAATCGTGCTGGCGCGACTGTGTGAGTTCACCACGCCGAGGACGACGTCGGGGAGGCCCGGTGGTGATCCGCAGGCCTCTGCCTTTCCTGCGCTGCCAGCGCCATTGCCACGTGGCACGAAGACGCCATCTTGGGCGTGGCAGGGGAGAAACGGCGGGAAGCCGCCATCTTGTCTTCACCGCGGCGGGAGGACGCCGCCATCTTCAACATCGCGGCGGAGAGGCAGCCTTGCGCTGCCATCTGGAGGTGCCGCGGGGTGAGCAGCCTGCTGTGAGCTGCTGTTTTTC